ATCGTGGATTTTCGGGCTTTTATCACGATAAATTGTGAGAAAAAGAAAAAAGGTCGATACCTTAGGAAGAGAAGCCGTGTAAGACTCAGGAATCTGCATCTCAGCAAGAATGCCGCTGTTTATGGCCATGGCCGCTTTATGGATTTGGTACGCGCAGTCTCGTTTTTGCCTTAAATGTTTCTTGGATACCTCCGAGAGCCCGTCTGGGCCCACGCACGGGACAGGCAGCCACCACTTCTCGTCCGCACGCTGAGACTGAGGCTGGGGAACTACTCTCCTAAACGAGCCTGAGCGTGAAGACGAGCTTCCCGAACGAGACGAATTTGCCGAGATGCTGCCTTGTTCGGCATACCAGAACTCGGTCTCCTGAAAGCTGTCAAGTATTCCCTTCTTGCCACACAAAAGAAATTAAGGAACAAAGAAATAATTAGAGAATGACCCTTGAGGTTTTCTCTAATTACGAAAGAACCCCAAAAATGTTTCAAAAAAAAGTTGTGAAACACTTTACCAGGAGCATTGCATCGAGCTTTCTCAACGCGGGGAGGTTGATGTAAATATCAGATCGTGGTCTGCTCGTCATCACCTACAGAGTCGGAACAATCGTTTCTTCAATTTTTATCGTTTATATAATATTATTGTTTCTTTGTTAAAAGGCAGCGAAATTGAAAAATTTTCAAAGTTCGGTTAAAACCTCTACTTTGGTCCCATCTTTGAGAGTCTGAAGTGTGGGACTGAACTCTACTATGTAATCACACACAGATAAAAGGCAATTCATTTCTCTTTTCCACATTAACTTCTTTTCTTGGTGCAGAGGTTCTAATCTCTGGTGCTGACCAAACACAGAAGCTGCATTTGCATCAGAGATAAGTCATGAAAAAAAATTATAATAATTAACATTCTTTAATATTATAAATTGATTCGCAAGTGAGGAGCCGTGCTTGTGGCTATATCCACTTTGCTATTGTACGTGCCCACCCGATTTTTTTTGTTTTGATCTAAAAATTTAATTTAACAGATCAGAATAAAAATTAGAAAAGCAAATCACCGTAAAGGTTGGTTATGGCGTTTGAGATCGACACAGCCGTGCAAACCCCTTTGCCACTTCCAGACATGTCCTCCCCAAGCAACAGCTTTGAAAATCTCTCCTTCATCAACTCTAGCTCTGTAACCATTTATTATTTTCCAATTTAGCCGACTGATATAAATAGCAATCGACATGTAACCAAAACAAATTAGAAATCGAACCATTAAATATTGCCCGAAACTCAAGTATTTCAATATTCAAGACAAGTAAAAAAGCAACAAGGCCAAAAAAAAAAGAATGAAAACACTGATGAGGATCTTCAACTTCAAAAATTAGCATATTGTGTCAACAGTCAACAGAAGTTGTTACATCACATAACCAACAAAAGATACAAAAGTTCCAATCTTCATAAGCTTTATACTCTGTGTTCTACATTGTCTTATCAAATAACAAACAAAACATACAGAAGCTCCAATCTTGATAAACTTTATACTCTGTGTGCTAACACAATAAAGATCATCACATACATCCCACGTCATATATATCATAAACCCACAAAAAAAATATGCAGAAAAATGATATCTTGATCACAAAATAACTAAAAAAAAAACTCACCTAAATCCATAATCTCATCATCTACCCCATGCTTATGCAGCTGCCTTGTCCCCAATTTGGAAAGCGCAGCACGAGCCGGGGACTTGAGCCCCTGCCAGCACTGTGGGGACGCCACATCAGAATAGCTAATACTATCATCTGTCGGCTCAGAAAATGCGGCCGAGGCCTCGGAATTAGTCCGACAGTAGGCGAACGACTCAGCGCTCATGATCGAGCAGCTCGTGGTATCGGTGAATGGAGATTGGTCAGTTTGATACACAGATGAAGGAGAAGGCTGATACCCCATATCATAATTCTCATCAGAATTTGATGTGCTGTCCATTTTTTTACCTGTCAAAGATGAAAAAGATTCAATTTTTATACAGAGATTCAAGATTCCAGAACAAATTCTTGCAAAAGGAATAAAAGTGTTCTTTCTTTTTTCTTTTTTGTAAATTGAATGTTTGAATGCAAACAACCCGGGAACCTGAGCTTACAAATCTTGGTTACAAAAGAAAAGAATAAAGAAAAAGAAGCAAAACACTGTTTTAAAATGAATTTTTTTTTTTTTATAGTTTTTCTTTGATCTCTGATACGCATGCAGCTAAAGTGTTCTAGAAAAAGCAAAGCAGAACGTTGCTGGGGGTGAACAAAAAAGAAAGAAAGTAAAAATACAAGAAAATTATTAAAAGCCTAACGGCAGTTAGAAAAAGACAGCAACGGTATACTTCTCCTTTATACATTACCTTCTTTAATGTAGACAGAAATTCGAATTTGAACAGTGGCAACTGAAGGCTGCCGTTCCCAACATTCTCTTTTCGGAGCCCTCTTTTTCCCCCCTTTCTTTCAGAATCTTGAATTAGAAGCAATTGATGAAAAAATAAAAATAAAAATCCAATCTTGACAAAAAGCCCACCAAATTATTGAACCCTTTTTGGCATATGTGCTGCAGATTTTATGTTGAGGAGACACAGCAATAGCTGCGTTTGAAATATATGAAGTTCGCTTGGCTGTAAAAGTACTATAAATTTAGTTGTAAATCAAACAATAATGATAGTAGTTATATTTCATTATTTGTACAATGCTATAATATAATCAAATTATCTAACTACTGTATATATAATCAGTATAATTTATTTATTAACAATATTTAAGTGTAGGAGCTGCTTCTTGAGTGCTTCCTAGTAAAGATTAATATGAACTCAAGCAAAGGGATATGATGTATAAAAAGATTGATTTATCTTCACCTAGTCGTTTGGTCCCAAAAAGTTATATATTGAGTAATTATTTTATTTGGTGGGTGTGCATTTGAGTAGATTTTGCTATTTTGACAAGGAAAAATGGTAGGAGACTAGCTGTATGAGACAATATTTAATGTAGTATTAGTCTACGATTATGTGGTGAAATTGATTCAAGATTTTGTAGGTGATTGCGAAAGTAGAAGTTTGACTCTCATGCACTGGATGCTTGCACACTAGTTAGTTGGAAGTTAATTCTATAAATAGTGCTTTCATAAATAAAATATTGAAAAGCAAGGTCTTATTGAGAAATTGGAGGCAGTAATTTATTTATTTTTCCTTGTTCTTTAAAAATTGGAAAGTCTCAGTGAAGGTGTATTAGTTATGGTTCATGTGTACTTGATTTGTTTCATTGTTTGAGTTATAAACATAAATATATGTTGACATAATCCTCTAAACAAATTCATCCGTCGTACTTTCTTTTAACTAAAAGAAAATATATTTATATTATGAAATATCATATATATGTATATTGTTTTATAAAATATTTATATTTACTAAAAAAATAATAACATTTAACCATTATATCTGACTAACAATCGTCTTACGATATGAGTAATGATACCAAGTAGCATCAAGCAATATATATGAGTTGCACTACTCCGTATGAAGTTTAAATTAAGTTTCAATATCGTTATTTTTCTTGCATATTATGCTATGAAATGTGATTTCAAATTATTCCATCTCCTCACATTCTTACATCAACATTTTTTCAGTTCAGTATTTTATGTGTTAGGGGAATGCAAAAATCATACAATGAACACAAGTACACAACCCCTTTTTTTCCTAATTAAATATTAAATAATAGACACCTTATTTAATACTATAAGTCATATAACAAGGTGGGTTTGAAGAAAAAAAAAAACACAACTTGGATCCGGTTAACATGGACGTGCAGAGCATAATTAACACCTCTCTTTTTGGTTCACGTTTCTTTTGGTTCACGTACATGGACTATGGTGATACAACGTGCAGCTGCGTGCGTGGCTTTGTGTTAAACAATGGTGTCTCATTAATTTAAAGATTGGTCAAGATATTTTGTAGATATGAATGAATTAGTTGGTTGACCATATTGGGAACCAGTGTAAAAGTTGTTGGGCAAAATTAATTGAATAATTTAAGTGGAGCTATTGGAAATGACCCTCAACTATACCTCTTAATTACTACAAATAAAATATAGAATTTTCCGAAACTATATGATTCTTAAATCAATAATGTTATTCTTAGTCTGGTTGTGCAACTATATCTTTTTAACAAAATTATTTATTTCATATTCAAATATTATATTCTAAAGAAATTAATATCAAGAAGATCATCATATCTCATTGTATAATCTGCATTTTTGTTGACAATATATATATATAGTTGTTAATCATCGTATGACATTTCATTGCATAAATCTATATTTTTGTTGACAATATGTAAGTACTTAATGATCAGGCCATCTAATGTGTATGATTTTGTATTAGGTTTTTTTTATTATTATTGCTTAGTTTTAGGTATTTAGGTGTGAGAATCATCACTTTTAAATGCAATTTTTTTTTATTTTTTTTTTTTGGTAATTTTTCTTTATGATTATCTTTTTTAAATAAGAACATTTGTCAACTAAGTTCAATGATCAAGCTGAATTATATAGAACAAGCACCAACTTCTGCTCCTGACATAAACTTTCACTGGCTTCAACAACATTAGCATCTCCCCAACTGTCATCTGCACCTCTAATGAGGTACTAATACTAAATTAATAACATGAAACTTGAAAATCTCATATAAATTTTCCATTTGTTTTGCAAAAGCGAGCAGAAGAAAACAGCATGCGAAAAACTCAAACACTCCCTCCACAGAAGTTCCATTCGCATTTAACTCGATTTCATGAATCACCCGACCTCGTTTACCTTCTCAGTTTTCTTTATGCGTATTAACAAACTTCCTGTTCTTTAAGTTAGAAAAAAACTTCAACCAACGCATTTTCCAGAGACTCGTGAGCATCGTGCACACGGACTTGCCTAGATCATTTCCCTCTGGCTCGGATTCTTTTCTTTTCGCATGTAAAACAGCCTATGGAAATGAACAAATGGACTTAAGAAGATTACCAAAGCATTTTTCAGATAGATGCTAGTTTTTAGCCAAAGGGAAAAAAGAAAAAGAAAACTTACATTTGGAACGAATTTCAATCCAATCGTTATTTGCCCTTTGTAAGTGTCGTCTTCAAGCACGACGTTGAATAGGGCCGGATTCAACTGTATCAATCCCGAGCGATTTCCCTCTGCGATTATTCCTTTGATGAAAATTCTGGAAAATCAAAATCGGATAGTTGGCTCATGAAGTTTAGGAAAACAATAAACATGCAAGAAAAGCATGCGAAAAGTGAGATTATTCGTTGCAACTCTTACAATGTTTCCCCAACACATTCGCCATCGCCCAAATATTCCTCGTTGACAATTCTAAGTTTGAGGTGATTCAAAGTGTCTAACTCTGACGTTGGATATTGGAATACGAACTTTTCATTCCAGTAGATTTTATCCAGATTTTCTGCAGTTGTCAGAAAAACAGAATGTTGTCAATGAAAATGCCTAACAGATCATAATAACAAAAGGCACAACCTCTAAGATTAGTGTGATTGGATGATTGCAATACAAAAGATCCCATTTATCATTCCAAGTTACACATTCTTGTTTTTTCCTAACAAATTGAATTGTCAAAGAGAACATATTATACTAACTCATAGAGGTATTTTTGCAATTGTCTCTAAGATTTACTAATAAAATTGACTAACTGGAAGTTTTATTTTTTTTTTTCTTCTTGACATGGACCTGATGAAGTCTTGCTTCTGCATATTTGAGTGCCACACTCAACTATGACGTGATAGCCCGGGTGCCCTGCCAAAATTGCACATTCAACTATGTTAACTATTGCTAGAACAAAATGAAATGATATGAATCAAAAAACAGTAACTAATCCCAAAAAGAAGAGATGTTTCGACCAAGAATTCGGTTGTGGTATATGCCTTCGGCAGAAACAAGAAGCACTTCCAGGATTGCGCCTTTCATTTTATCCATCTATAGGATGGGATGCTCGATTTCCAATATATCTTTCTTAAGTGGTCATAAAAAGAAGAACATAGTCAATCTAAACCTTGAATTTAATATACATGTTAAATGAGGGAGTTACAAGAAGCTATGAGGGTTAATTGATTACATGTGTTGTTAAAATTGGGCGATGAATTTCACATTTATTCTACAATTAAAAAGACTCGTTTAGATATGGTCAGTTATGAAAGTTGTGAAAGAAAGCAACATATCACACCATTCACAATAAATATAAGCCAAAGATAATTTCTCACATTTGTATACAAATACGAGACAATATTGCAATAAAAATTCAAATCCATTGCAACTTTTAAGGAACACTGAATAGAAATGAAAGATGGGCATATCCTAGTCTCTAATTAAATTTCCTTTTCATATCCATGCGGGTAAAAGAAACTTTCAGCAAAACAGTTAACAATACTTCCAATTCATTATCAAAATCAAGAACAAGAAACTTGAGTTCTTATGGAAAGAAGAAAATTGTATACCTCGTAAACATGGATTCAACATGAACATCGATGATAGATTCATGTAATCAATTGCATGAGCTTTCGCCTAATACCACAAGTCCTTTCCATTGCATGAAACCAGCTCCAATCATCGTACTCAACCACAATGGCTAAATGTGGAATTGTGGATAAATTTATATATGGATTGTAGCGTATTAAACGCTTTGTCAGGCTGCATGCTTTAAGCATAGGCCGATATGGTGACACTCCAAGCAATAACATCTGTAAAATCAAGATGATTATCGAATATTTTCATTGAAGACTCATCACCACCAAATCTAGCGCACTTTGGAGAAGCTCGGCATGCAATCAATCAACACAAACAGGAATCTTATGGACCATAGCACTACACAAAAACACATCCTTATTTTCGCGATGCGCTCCTCATAATTTCCATACGCGATGCGCTACACAAAAGCACGTCCTTATTGTGGACCATAGGCACACCATATAATTTCCATATGCTCGATGTCCATGATCTTACAACAGTGCTCTGTACATGTTATTTTTTGTGGCCCAAATGACCTTTGTGGATGGCCCAAGAAAAACTCCTTCACGGCAGGTCCACCGGCCCATCTCCTTAATAGCAAATAAAGCCTTTGTACAATTCTTTTTTGCAGCTGAATTAATCTTCTGCCGTTTCCCCTATCACTCTTCAGTCCTAAACCCTTTGTGAGATAAGTGTTTCTCAAATTTTAAAAAACCCTAAAATCGGCCAGATTACCCGTTTCTCCCAATTTTTCTCTCATCGTCCTTTTATTATATAAGGAACCCTACGTGTGTGAAAAAAAGAGATTGCGCGCAAAGGAAAAACAAAGTGTTGTGTGTGCTTTGTGTGTGTGAGGGCCTGGAACAGAGAGTAAAAGAGTGTGCACTGTGTGTGCTCGTGTGTGTGAGTACGTAAAAATAGTGGGAGAAATAGAAAGGATAAGAGTAGAGATAAAACAGAGTACTTTATGTGTACCCTCTTCGTGAGTATCCCAGGCACTGAAAACGTGTGTGTGGGTATAAATGGTGCTTCAGCACGAGAATGTCATACTTCAATGATAATAAAATAGATTTTCTACAGCTTATGCTGATATACTTACAATGTTGTTACCATATCATAATAAAACAAGTCTGCTATGTGATGTGCCTTTGATATTAATAGTAAGAATGCTATAATTTCTTTCACAAGTTTACAATGAACATACTTAAAAGATATGGTGTATAAATAGAACTCATGAATAACGAGAAGCACATAAAAAATGAGAACAATCTGCACAATACAAGTTAATATCACTATAAAATATATGCATGATTCATCATAAATGAAACAGAGAATCACAAAACAAAAACTCATTACTCTGTAGTAGAATTAACAAACACATTCGCAATTTATTTATTTTGGTTATTTATCACGTAAACCATCCACGAAAAATCTCAATCCATTATCAGGGGACTAATACAAATAGAGAATCACAAAACAAAAACTCATTACTCTGTAGTAGAATTAACAAACACTTTCGCAATTTATTTATTTTGGTGATTTATCACGTAAACCATCCTCGAAAAATATCAATCCATTATCAGGGGACTAATACAAATTATTCTTCAATTAGAAACACCATCCGAAATTCACTATACCAAGTACAAAATTGGCTCAATCACTCTCCTCTCAGACCTCTATCCAACAGAGCATAAACTATAAATCAAATTCTTCATGGGTATTGAAGTAAAAACATATTACTGAACTACCAAAATTCCATCAAAAAATTTTCAATGCCACAAGAAAAATGTTACCAAACCGGAAGGGAAAATCAAGCCTTGGCAACCGGGGGACTACTGCTTGAACCAGCATTAGCCAAAGCCTCCTCCGAATTTTTCTCCTTCTCCTCAAGCAGTTTCTTGTTCTTCTCGATTGCAGCCGCCACCTCAGCAGGCATATACTTCTCGTCGTGCTTCGCCAAAACCTCAGTCGCTGCAAAATAGCAATCTAAGCTCCTAGCCTTTTCTGTTACCCCAAATTTGCTGCTGCTGCTAAGAGCAATTTCCTCTTTTTTTCCGAACTCCATCATCCACGGGCCGGATAAACCCCTCCACAACTGCCGAGTGCCCCTCGCGAAACAGATCCGGCAAGCTGCCGTCGTATTTGACCAAAATGTCCGTAATCAGATCGGTAATTACAAATTGGGATTCCGGTGAATCAGGAACCTGGATATAGCTGTTCTCGAGGACAAGGCCGCCTAAACGGAATTTGGACTTGGTCGGGTCGGAATTGTACTTCTGCAGGGCGTCGGTAGGGGTGATGTAGAAGACCAGCTGGTCCTGGAACTGGTTGAGGACGATGACTATGAACCCCGCGATGCAGCTGAACGTTATGGCGTAGGTCCAGAGGCGGCGGGTCTGCATCTGGCGGGCGCGGGCGCCGACGTCGGGCTTGGATCGGGCCGCGCGGGGTGATCGGGTGGAGAGAAAGCGCAGGAATTGGTGGTTGTGGTGCGTGAAGGATGGGGATCGGTGAGAGCTTAGGACGGTTTGCTCGAAGGGATGGGATTTTGGTGCTGTGATTATCTCGCTCGCGGAGGTGAAATGGTGGCGGAGGAGGTGGCGGAGGAGAAAGCGCGAGGAGACTCTGGCCGCCATTGGAGATGTGGCGGAAAATTCTTGAGAGGGGTTTAAGGGAAAAATAAAACTATTGCATGTACATAAACAATTCTCTCCATAATTTTTTTATCTTTAGTTTTTTACTCTACAGGGACATTCTACAGTCCCTGTTACAGTCCCTACTCTACATTCATGTTAACAAACTCATAAAATTTTCTAATTATATAGATAAATATAGGGTAGATATTATTTATATAAATAAATTTAATCAAATCTTTAAAAGTTAATAAAAATTAATATCACGGTATAAATCTTCTAAGAATTTATAGATACTAAATTATAATAATAAAGAGGAAGTCAATAAAAAACAAGCATTGAAAATAATCACATATAGACATATTTAGATACACCAATATTGCAATTAATAAAAATTTAGCATTAAAATATGAAATAGATGTTATACAACTATGCAAGGCCAATTGGGCCTCAAATTGATCCGATGGTTTTAGGCGCATTTTATCCAAAATGGGCCATTTTTAACAGGCTAAAGTACATATATAGACCACTACATATAAACTTTTATAATAGTTTTTCGAACCAGACCGACCCGACAGGTCAACTTGAGACCTGGTCGACCCGAAGTCGGAACCGAACCAAGTGGGCTATTCGGACCTGGTAACAATGGACCTGCTCCGCTGCCAAACTTATTCCAATTCCAAGAGCTCGGAACCCGTTCAATGGACTCGGGACCTAGCCACGGGCGTCGAAGCTTGAACTTGACGTCGGCATCATAACTCCTCGAATTAATTGATTTTCGTATTGTGTTGAATTTGATGTTTAACTTGTTATGTTGACTGTGAATTGATCCACATTTAATCAATATAAATATAATACAAACCTTAGTTATACTTTAGTAAGGATAATATCTCCAACCACTACAATAGAGGATGAGACACCAATAAGTACAACAACTTTGATGTTGGAGGGGTTCTTATGAGAAAAATGCATTTATAGATATTTATGTATGATAGTTGCCAAAAAATAAAATTAAATGATTGGGCCTCGTTTAATCAATATAAACGTAATATAAACCTTAAGTTTACTTTAGTGACAGATTATGTCTCCAACAATAGTATTCATCTTATATTTGTTACTAAGAGCACAAGGTGAGTAGTAAATAAAAATAGAATTTGTATAGATCATAATAAAATTAATATTTTAATTTATATAATAGTTATTCGAGTTTGTAAAATCAAAAGTTACAAATTAACCACATATAAATATGATAAGTTGTCTCAAAATGTGGATATTGACAACATCTAAACTAAACTTATGCTCAACAAGAATGTGTACATGTTCGCCAGCGTCCACGGCAGTACAACGACCCTTCATCAGACCGCCGCTCGATCTGTAGTCGGAAGAGGAAGACCCTTCGCCGAATGTCGCGCCTTCACTAGTCGTTCGCCAGTCATGAACAACATATGTAGTCTGGTTGTCGCCGCTCGTGGGACAGTTACCTTCACACGAGGCTTGATTGTCGTACTCTGCACTGTTGAAATCCACCGGTCATCCACCATTCACGGTGGGAGTTGTTGCCTTCCGATATATTGTTGGGTGTGGCGGTATAAAGTCGAGGAAATGGAAAATCGAAAGGGGAGAAATTGAGAGAAAGAATTGGTGGACCTAGTGTCTGCAATATTGAGAAGAAAAAAACGGAGAAATTAGAGGAGAAGAAGAAGAAGAAGAAAGAGGAAAATTAGGAGAATGAATTGGTAAGGATAAAAAGGAAAGAGGGACAAGAAATGAAAGTCAATTTTGAATGATTAACAGTTCAATACACTTAATTTACTCTTCTTAATTACTTTGATCATATATTATTACTAAAATAAGATTAATGTATTTATTTATTTATCTATATATATATAATAAGAATTAACATTTTTTAAAAATAGCAAGTCAAACTTTAGTCAATTTCGTACAACATTAATTACATTCCGTTTTTAGTAACTCTTTTTTTTTTAAAGAAAAAACAGGCAGCATTAAATATTGCCCTTAATTAACGGCAGTTGTTATTTTGTTTTTAAAAAATACGTGCTTAATAAAAGAAACAGTAATATTACAGCTGATTAATTAGTTAGTGTTGATTTAATATTTAAATGGTCAAACAAATTTTTTTTTTTTTCATAAAATCGTGTAATGCAATTGTAGTTTTTTTATTTTTTTATTTATGGCTGATTTAAAATTAAAAAATTTGTTTTGCGATTTGAAAACATTGTAACATTGAAGATATGGCCCATGTAATATTAACAAATTATTTTTGCAGTCTTTGATTCGAATTCTCTTCAAAATCAAAATTTAAAAGTGTGAAGAATGTATATAGTCTATAGATGTGGACTGCCGTAATATAAATGAATCCGTAAATTAAAGAATTTGTTTCGATAAAGAAACAAAATAATTTGAACTTTAAAGTAATATTTTATTATGCACGTGTAGAACAAAGAAAATTGATACATTTAAACTTCCTATGAGCAAGAATTCTGTTAATTTTCAAAATTTAACATCTCAAACAAAATAAAATAATACAATATTACATTCTATGAAATAAACATTTAACACCGCCGTTCAAATCCGAGCAACATTGAATCAGACACGCAAGTTCTTAGTTAAATATCGATACTTCATTTCTGGTTTTCATTTTTTTCAACCAAAAACTTTTGGATTTGACCCAAACTCGATAAATTAAACCAGATCCGTCATCTATTTTTATTAAGTTCGCAGAAAATGATAGCCAACTAATCAGAAACATCAAAAAATATATATAAATTGAAGAAGCGTCCATGAATCGTAGGCCGATAAATAATTTTGTTTATCATTTTTTGAATCCGATTGTCTATTCACATTATCTGTGAAGAACGAGTCAGATTCCAGTAGATCTGGATACGATAAAGGCAAAACGACCGCCGATTCACAGTATTTTTGAACAATGATGTCGAAACATGATAATTAAAAAATAAAATAAAACAAAATAAATGAAAGAGCTCAAATCGTTCCAAAATTTTTTGAATTTCGTCTGACTTACCTACTCACAATGTAATACTCGACTGAGATTTTCATCAACATCTTCTAACAAGAGCTCAAACTCCACGAGTGTAACGTCTTGATAATCTGCTACTAATTTAATTATTCTTCGGCTTATGATAAATCGAGGAAACTGAAAATGAATCAAAATACGGGGAAATGAACCATCTGTTCAAAAATAAAAATAAAATATTTAAAAAATTAATAAAACGAGACAGCCCAAATCAAATTTTTTGAAATGAAAATAAAATATTTAAACAATTAATAAAATGAGACAACCCAAATTAGATTTTTCGAATCCCTGCACACAAAAATATGCATCAAGTCGTATTCGACATAGATTATCCTAAAAATTGATTATCATGACCTGTTAGATATCGCTCTGTTTGTCCCATTTTTATTACGTTTTTCATTATCATTTTGTTGCTATTTTTTCCCCTGTTTTAGGATTTTTAGTTAATTTTTAGTTTGTTTTGTAGTTTATTATGTGTTTTGCTCTATTTTGATTTTTTATGTGTTTTTCGTGTATTTTGTCAGTTTTCTATGTTTTCTTCTTGTTTTATGTGTGCAGGTCGAAAGTCTTATGAGGAATGGTAGCACGAAATTTGAGTCGGCAAGCATGGTTGAGTAGAAGGGCTCGTTAGCTATATTTAGGAAGAAGCGGAACTCGATTTCGAGTTCAGACGAATCCGAACGGGGCTGAAACGTAAAGTCCAGCAAGCTGTCGACCGTTTGAAGGTTGGAAAACTCTAGAGGATTGTACTATTGGCAAACTCTGGTCATGAAAGCATCATTGAATAGAGGGGTTTGTTAGCGACGCATAGGAAAAAACGGAACCCAATTCCGAGTTCGGACGAGCCTAAAAGAGCCCCAGAAGCAAAATAGTGCAAACAGCCAGCGCCGCGGCACAAATCTCCACCACGACGTGAAGCATCCTCCGCGGCACGGCGCGGGCTTTCTCCGCGCCGTGGAGCCTCCGCGACCCCGACAGAAGATGCTGGCCTTCCATCCTCGCGCCGTGCTCGAAGTTTCCACGCCGTGTCACCTAATCCTATATATAAATGTACGGGACTTTGACAGAAAATCATTTTCTCCCCTTCTGGGAGACGAACCCTAGACCCGAGATAAAACACGAAACTCTTTTCTCCTATTTTCTTCCCTTCTTCTTCTTCGTTTTTCTTCTTCTCTTTATCTTTCTTTTCCGTTTTTCTTCTTCTTCTTCTTAGTATTCTAGGATTAAGCCTGTAATTCGGATTCAACACTTGGATTTGGGATTAATTGTAAGAAGTTATTTACCTTATTTAATTCATGAGTAATGGTTGATTTGAGAGGAATGATTATGTGTGTTGAATTTGATTTACGTAGCTAATTCCTTCTACTAGGGATTGGGGATGATTATTCTTGTTTAAATCATATTTGTCAGGCTTGATTTGTTCATGCTTATGTGAGTTGATGTAATTCGGAATTGATGAATTTGTGCTTGATAGTTTGATATAATCGAAGGGTGACACTTCGATCTTGCAATTGGAAACGATTGAATGTTAATTTGTCGAGTTAGGATTTGTCAATTCTATATGATTAGTTGATTAATCACCTTCTAGTTAATTAGCGACTTTTAGAATCGAAAGGGGAGAAGTCGTGAACCTAGGCTCGCATGAGGTAGATGATTTCATAATTGAATAGTCTATAGGTTTTGGATTGAAATACGTGCTTGTCAATGACCCGTCCCTTGTTACGAAAAATTATTGGGATTTGATAATTGACCATTATTGTATGCTCGAGCTTGTTCGTCTATATTCAATTCCTTGTTACGAAGAGTTATTGGGAGCGAACCGCTAGATGTCTAAGCGAGAGTGCCAATCTCGAACTGAACGATTAATTGCCCGGTTTTGCTAAGAACTTGAATAAATTATCCTCGATTCCCTAACTTTTCCATCTTTGTTTCATTTATATTTTTAGGTAGATTATTGTTTTTATATTATTTCTTAGTTGGTAATTAATCTACCCCCATCCTGATTAGAGTGTTAGGATTTATTTTTCTTTTTTGTGTTATCATTACCAATTCTAAATTCCGAACCGTCTTCCTTGTGAGATCGACCCGGGGACGAATCCTTCGATTCGGTACTCGGTAAAAATATAAAAATTTGTACACAACACGCTCAAAAATAAAATAAAAAGAAAAAAAGAAAAAAATAATGACAAAAGGTTGAAGCAACCATTGAGACAGGTGAGGCGGTGGGAGAGATGAAGGTCAGACAGAACAAATGAATAACCCTAAAAAATCGGGTTTTTTATCCTTTTATAGGAGGCTTCTTTCATTTATGGCCGTTAAATATCGTTTGACTAATATTAGCTTTCCGATTGGGATTGATATGGACCAAGTTTAATCCAATGAGAATGGGCCGGATTTATTATATATGTATTCGGCCTAGTTCTGTTTTAATCAATGCAAGTTTAACGAGCCCGACTGTACACCAATGCTAATGGGCCGACTCTAATTATTTAATTGTATTATTACATAAATCAAAACAAATTTTGCTTTGGCACATATAAATATGTAATATTATGTCATAAATCAGCTCAATTATATAAGTTATTACTTATTAAATACCATTAATATTACAAGTAAAAAATATATATTATGTTATTTAGTTGATAAATTTAATATTTGACTATACATTAACAAATATATTTTCCAATTTGAAAAATAAATTATTATATCATACATAAAGAGAAAATTAATTAATATCAATTGAATATAAATACTATATATATTGTATGTGTTTAACAAAAAAAATGTTTTATATCTTTTAAGTCATATGCACAATTGTATATTATATAAATTCCAGATAAATATGTTTATTTGTTTAAATTAATATGTAAATTTAAATAAATTTTATCTGAATGTTTTTTTTCAGAAAAGAGAATGTATCATCATTCTACAGTTATGCGTTATGTACAAAATAAACATCAAAATACCCGTAATATCCACCAAACTTCACAAAGGATGCCATTATCTGATATCACAAATGGTAAATAATTTATTATTTATTTTACACAATACACTTTGCATATACTTTAATTGATTGTTAAATTTTTGCATCACTCTGTTGTATTCGTCGTCGACAAATCTCTATTCCAGCATTTGGAGTAAGCTTTTTTTTTAATGTCATATACAAGTAGTATATCTAAATAATGATTATGATTCAATTATAAATTTTTTGTTTTTAATTTCATTTCAACTTACAGATACTATACAATCATCCTATGGTCTGATATCGAATTTGACTGCTCAACATAACCCCAAATTTTCTGCAAAAATGAGTGGTTGAGGAGAAACGGTCTTAATGGGTCTCACCAGTGACGATAATATACGAGTATTATAAAAACGAGAATGTCTTGATTCCTAGAATGAATATCACTCCATTCTATACTAGGATTCCAATTAAGTTCCAACGGCGACAGTTCTCACTTATTATTTCGTATGCCGTGACCATGAACAAGAGTCAGGGACAATATTTATCGCACGTTGGTCTATTTTTGAAGAAACTTGTTTTTAGTCACGACCAATTATATGTTGTTGTTTCACGTGTAACTAATAGAAGATGGTTGAAGATATTAGTTTGTGATATGACGAGTTACCCAATAACCAAACTCATAATGTTGTGTACAATGAGATTTTTAATAATATATGATTGTTTCATATTATGATTCAATAACGTTCCTATGTATTGTAATTATTTCGATCCTAATGCATTTCAAATTATATTACTCTCTAAATTTATACAGCTCGTGCATCGCACGAGTTACGCACTAGTTTTCTACTCAAAGGATTGTTATGTACTACTCCCTCCTATTTTTAATAAATGATGTTTTGAGAAGTTGCACAGTAATTAATAATCATTTTTTTGTCAATAATAACCCTCATTAATGAGGATAGAGATGGATGTTTTGAGAAAAGATGAAGAGTGAATATGAAAAGACATAGTGTATTTATTAGCTAAATGAGAGTAATAATGAAAAATATGTATAAAAGATCCAAAACGACATTTATTTAATAAATTGTTGACAAAGCCAAAATGACATTTAAAAAAATAGGAGGGAATATTATGTAGTATACTTTGCATTAAAAAATAAAAAACTAGCTAAGGATATAGTAAGATGTTGCATAGGTAATATTCTCTTTTTAACCCAACCTGAAAACATAGCTGCCGAGACATATAATTTTACTTTTATTACTCAGTTTAACAAAGAATTCGGTGCTGCCCTAGGGGCACTGCAGTCGGCCTCGTGCCCTTGATTTCACACGCAACTACTGAACTACATGGGTGTGTGTATGTATGTAAATCAAACATCCCTAAGGGCGGACTGCAATGCCTAGGGGCAGCATCGAATGTTCCCAATTTAACCCAACTTTTTTCCAACGGATTTCGTATCCCGCCATTAGCTCTCTCTCACTCACGGGGTATGCGTGTTGTACGTATATATGTATGTATATACGCTCGTTTATACGCACAGGATGCTACAGTGTTAGAGAGCTGAGAGAAGATGAAAATGGCGATCAACGTCACATCGCTTGAGCTGCCTCGCAGCTTCGTACGAGTTCAGAATTCAACCTCTTTCGCTCAGTCGGCAGCGGTTCTTCTCCTTCACTCGACGGCCAATTGCAGTGGTCGGAGAAGACCCAGGTGCCAGTCGTGTAGATTGAAGAGCGTTTTGGCGAAATCCGGCGTCGTTTATCGCGCCGTGGTTGAGGACGCCGGGGAAGAAATGGAGGAAGAGGGTGGTTCTGCGGTTGAAGATGATTCAGGTGACGCTGCTTTGGGGAGTAAGCTGGTGAGTTTATGAGTTTCTTTTTCTTTTTTTCCTTTTTTGGTGGTTTAATTATATGCTGTAAGTAATTGTTTGTGTTTATCATAGTTTCTCATACTTTGATGACGGTAAATGTGTTGAAGTTTAGAACAAGGGCTCGATGGTGAAAGGAGAGTGAAAACTGTTCAAATTGATGAAAACTGAAAATCTTCAGAGTTTATGTTTTAACGGATGGGGCACAGTTTTTTTCAGTATAATCATATAAATGTGATTATATGTTTATGTGCACAAGCATTTGGGATGTGAAAATGATGTTTGATCACGATGACCAAATGTATGATGCCGCTTGAAAAATTGAGCCAGATGCAACTTCAACCGTTTGGTATTGAAATATAATACTCGTCTATGACATTAATTACCATCTTCATGAGACAATTTAGATCGCGAATTAGAAATCTGATGCGTGAGTTGGTCTGGTGATTCACTGATTAGGTTGTGTTGTTGTCAGAACTGTAGATCTGAAGTGCTTTCCGTGATGTGGGCCATATCTAGCAGTTTCATTCATGCTGTGTGCATATATTGTCAAGTTATACAATATTGTTTACTGATAAGTCAGCTCCGATTAAGTTATTTGTTGTATTTTAACTTTGCTGTCTTTCTTTAAGGTTACTGGAGTCATTCCAAAGGTCCGGGAGCGAGACTTCACTGACACCCCTTATGTTCCAGTTTATGTGATGCTACCTGTGAGTTGCAAGATTGTATCCTTAATCTAACTCCATTTGCTCTCTCTACAGTTAATTTCATTCATTTGAGTTGTTCAAAATATATGGACAGCATCATACTTCTATTCATTTTTCTTTTGTTTGTTAAAATTTGTTCTGGAATCAGCTGGGTACCATCAGCATGGAGTGTGAGTTGACTGATCCAGACAATCTGATTAACCAGCTGAGGATCCTTAAGTCAATTAATGTTGATGGTGTTATGGTTGATTGCTGGTGGGGCATTGTGGAGGCACATGCACCTCAACATTATAATTGGAGTGGTTATAAGAAGCTTTTTCAGATTGTACGGGATCTTAAGCTCAAGCTGCAGGTGATTGGCCATGAGGATTATGAGATTCACAGCTACTGAAATAGCTCAGTGACATCTTAATCGTGATATTTTACTGTTATAACCTTCTTTTGAACGTCTGGTTGATCTTCAAGTGCTTCCTTTCATTTTAATCCATATTTTTTCAAACAGGTAGTAATGTCTTTTCATGAATGTGGTGGCAATATTGGTGATGATGTGCATATCCCCCTTCCACAATGGGTTATAGAAATTGGCGGTCAAAATCCTGACATTTTCTTCACAGATAGAGGGGGGAAACGTAACCATGAATGTCTTACTTGGGGAATTGACAAGGAACGGGTCTTGGGAGGTCGAACTGCTGTTGAGGTATTCTTGCTTAACTGTGCCTAACGCTTTCTAATTACTAGAATTGTGATCTCTAAGAATATTGTATTATATGTATCATTACTTAATATCCAAGTAAAAACATTGTGCAGGTTTATTTTGATTACATGAGAAGCTTCCGTGTCGCGTTTGATGAGTTTTTCGAGGATGGAGTCATCTCTGAAATTGAAATTGGACTCGGTCCATGTGGGGAGTTACGCTATCCATCTTATCCTGCAAAGCATGGCTGGGAATATCCCGGTATTGGGGAATTTCAGGTAAAAAAAAGTTCCACTCCATTTATTGACTCGAGTATCCTTCCACTAGTAAGATGCCAGCAGTTTCTTATGGCCAAGATGTATCTTTGACCCTGACTTGGTATACGTGAGCATTTTGTGTTTATCATCTGCCACATTCAATTGATTATGGCGATTTGTTTAATTCTCTTCTTCTGAACAGTGCTATGATAAATACTTGATGAAGAGTTTGAAGAAGGCAGCAGAAGTGAGGGGCCACTCATTTTGGGGTGAAGGACCTGATAATGCAGGTTCATATAATTCCAAACCTCATGGAACCCAGTTCTTCCGTGATGGAGGCGATTATGATAGCTATTATGGTCGATTCTTTTTAAACTGGTACTCTCAGGTTTTGATTGATCATGGCGACCGGGTACTCGCTCTGGCAAATCTAGCCTTCGAAGGTACTCCAATTGCTGCAAAGGTATGTGAACGTTTCTGTCTCATCCAAATCGAAGAATGGCTACTTGGAATTTCCTCATTTTTTATAGCAATTTTAGGTCTAGTCTTAGATTAAAAGAACAAATTAACAAAACAGTTGTACAGCAGAGTTACATATATCACTTGTATTTGTTGCATTTAAAAAATAATATCTTAATAAGATTTATCTTGTTATGAAAAAAAAAAAAAAGATTTATCTTGTTATGAAAGTACAACCCTAAACACGGTATTTGTTATGTTTGAGTAGTATCGATATTTTTCTAGGCTATATCAGTTGTTCAATCACAATGAAATTTCCCAGATGCCATTAGCTTCTGCTCACTATGGATTTTTATCTGAAGTGATTTCATGGGTTGAGCAGTTATCAGGGATTCACTGGTGGTATAAGACAGCCAGCCATGCTGCAGAGTTAACAGCAGGTTTCTATAATCCGTCCAACCGTGATGGTTATGCTCCAATCGCATCAATACTGAAAAAGCATGAGACTGCTCTAAACTTCACATGTGTCGAGTTGCGAACATTAGATCAGCAAGAAGATTTCCCTGAAGCATTAGCAGATCCTGAAGGATTGGTTTGGCAGGTTAGCAGCTCTGAACAAAGAAATGAATTCTCTATTACCTGCTATTTTAATTTCATTAGGTACTCAATTATCAAGGGACTGCTGAGAATGGATATTACTGTATTTTACAAGATAACTAAGAACTAGTTTGAGGTTTGGCCTAGTTACCCCGTAAAGGANAAAAAAAAAAAAAGAAAAAAAAAAAAGGTTTTCAAAATTACTACAGTCCAATACTCCACTCTTTAGGGTATTCAAGTACTCCCCTATTGAGTCTGTAACTTGTAAAACTGAAACATTTATCAAATGGGGATTTGTTATTTTGAGAGAACCAGAAGTTTTAGTATTCAGACCAAAACTCAAGATTATGACGTGGTAAGTAGACATAAGAACTCAAGATTCTGTCTGTCCTGGTCCATAAATAAACTGTCTGTGCCCGAGAGACGATTGGATTTCTCTGAAATCTGCTTATGCAAACACTTTTAGGTACTAAATGCTGCATGGGATGTCGGCATACCAGTTGCAAGTGAAAATGCCCTTCCATGCTACGACAGAGAAGGCTATAACAAAATACTGGAAAACGCAAAGCCTTTCAATGATCCAGATGGAAGACATTTATCTGCTTTTACCTATCTCAGGCTAAGCCCATATCTAATGGAGGACCAAAATTTCCACGAGTTTGATCGATTTGTTAAAAGAATGCATGGTAAGTTCCTTTCCTTTTCCTTTCGTCTGATGATCAGACAAAAAGTGTGAGCTACAAGCACCACCCTACATTTAGCCTAACCATAAAAAGTATTTTTATCTAATGAAATTGCAATATACCCCTATTATAATTCTGGAAGCCAACTAGTTTCTTTCTTGTGTGATTTAGACTGCTCTTCAACTGTACTGCTCATCACAATGGTGTTAGAGCCCACTCAAAGCAATTTTATCTGATATGCGGCTTCATTTTTGCCATGGCTGTTAATTACTGTAATCAAATTTTCAGGGGAATTTGTGCCGGATTTGGAATGCAGCCAAGAAGAGGAAACTCAAACCTTAGATGAATAAAACCATTTGGCTCCGTTCAGAACAAAGGAAACTTTGCAGACACCATGTATTTTCATCTCCAGATATCGAATCATAGTCTCAACAAGTGTAAACAAAAACAAATGCGAACAGGGTATCTGTAATACACACACTGGTGTGTTGAGCCGTCTTTTTAATAGCATAAAATTGGGTGATATCAGTTTTTACTTTCTCATATAATAATATACATTTGTGATACAAAAGGACTGCACATACAGAACCAACGTTTTCATCTGCACAATCAAACAATGAATGATCATCTCCTAATAAACTTTCTATCTTCCCCATGGAATAAGCCTATATTGTCTTCTCCCTCCATATTCCCAAAATTATGATTAAATAAAAAAATAAAAAAAAACTTTCCTCAATATTATCCGACAAAATAATCCTCGTGCAAGGTGCTTGAATTTTGACCTTTCTCCATTTCTTGGAAAGTTCCATAAGAAGGTAGCGGCGGGTATGCATGAGGAACTTCCAATGCGACTGCTCTTTCTATGGCTGCTTTATACTCTTCATTGTGTTCTTTCACCACCGATGCCTGCCTTTCCATCTTTTGTGCTCGGGGAAAGTTCATAGCATGCTCTTTTTCCAGCATGGTCTGCACTAAGAGAATATATATTTTTTCCCCTTAACGTTTTCAGTATCAATAAGAGAAAATTTAAAACGGCATACAAACCTCAAGATGATGAGAAACTAGATTTGGCATTCTTTAACAGGTAAGTGTTGAGTTTGTATTTGCATACAGAAGTTGAAAATATATATTTAATCGGGGTTTTTTTTTTTCAGTCACCACCAAACCAGTTACCAATGAAATAACTTACATTATATGCTCTTTCAGATTCCTGCAGTATCCAAATAATAGCATGGTCCGACGTTATGTTGCACGAGAGCACAATGTGCTCAAACCGCCCATCTACAGGCACTGCTGTCCTAACGAGTGGTTGAATTCTTTTACATCTTCACATAGGAAAAAAGGAAACCAAACAAAAATTAAAATTAACACCTTCATAATTGAGATTCAGACATTATTCTGATAGCAAAAGATCCCTGCTTCTTTCCAAATTTCCAAAAACCTCAATAAGTATTACAAATCACCAACTTCAGGTACCCCCTGTTGAGGGTACAATTTTATGAAATAGAGACAAATATCTTAAGGGGGCATTTGTGGTTTTAAATATCTGATTTTTTTTTTTTTTTTTTTTTTTTTTAAAAGAAAATGGNTGCAATTACAATATAATTAAATCATCAACTATTCAAAATTTTCAATTATAGTATACCAGATTGTACATATATGCATACCTGAAGGGTTTTCTCACGATAATGTGATAGAGTCGACCGGGTGCGTACAAACGCCTCGGGTCCTGGAGCATCTTCTCCTCTAGTGTGCATGTATCTTTTAAGCACATTATGCACATCAAGCAAGGGAAACTTTCAAGACAGAATGTAAAATAGTGTGAGTTAAGAGTATTTGCATATCATGAAATCAGTGGTTAATTATCTTGCCATCATGGTTATACTGAATCACAACTGTAATGGTCGTAAATGATAGAGGGAATCATTCGAGTGAGATTGACGGACTTAAGACAGTTTTGACAATTATTTCTTGTGCGTGCGAGATGTAAAAGGCTCAATTTTTTTTCAATAGTATATAACCAAGGAACAACTACATGCCTCTAAAGAACCAAAAGGAGAAATATTTGGTTAATGAAATAGCTCATATCCATAAATTTGAGTTACAACTACTGAACAAAATTCCTCTGGAGAACTTATGCGAAAATAATGAGATAAATAAATAAATAAAATTGCTCGTCTTATGCAGAACACATTCCAAGAATGAATGTAAGAAAGAATCACCAATCATCAAAACTGGTAAAAGAACAGTCAGAAGAGGAGAGAATCTTTTACCACAAAAGTGATTTGTAGACATCCTCAAGTGCTACTGTTGTCCGGGGTAAGAAATCATCCTGTATAATAAAGGTAAGAAATTCATTAAAAAAGTTATTATACAAGCACATGCGGAGAATGAACTTCCAACTCGCAGAAATAAAGTAAAAACTTAACGATCAAAACACCCAATTTTAGGTTTAGCATCATGGAAAGGATGTGAAAATGCATTCATGACCCACATATAACATTCGTTAGAAGAAACTTAAACTTAAACAAAATGCAACCTATATCCATACCTTCAACAAGGTTCCTAAAACGCCCAATTCTATATCTCTATATGCATCTCAATATAGCTAATGCTTGGAAAAAAAATATACAAGAGGCATCGGCAAGCAATATCAAGAAAAATACATTTGAAATAAAATCATAAGTTGAAAAAACGCGAAGCAAAAATAGAAAAAGCCAAAGCAACACACCTACACACACACACATTTGGATCCTTCATAAACTTACCACAACCCAAAACCAAACGAAACACATTACCCCAAAATAAACCGAGCCAAAAAAAACCCAAATCGTCAAATGCACAAAAACCCATTACCTGCAGCACAACCGAGTTTATCACGTCCGCATACCTAACCGCCAAATTCAACGAGATACACCGTGCGGGCGCAATCGCAAAGCACCTGATCCTATCCCTCTCTACACCCCCCAATTTCTCCCTATTCTTCACCGCCAGCATAGTTAACAACGTGACCACCCCAGCCCCAAGAGAATGCCCGGCAAAAGTCAAACTGTACCCACTATACCTACCCACCAACTCCCCCAAAACCCCACACTCCTCCTCCAAAACGTATTGGGCCGCCTTCAGAAGCCCATTATGCACGTAGCCATCGTCATACGTCGTCTGGCCCAGCTTGTTATCAAGCAACAGTAGAAAATCACTCTCTTTACCCAAATTAAGTCCTCTGATCAATAAAATTATGTCTGAATTTTCGTGGTCGATGTAGATCATGTAAGGTGAGACTCGGCCGGCCGTGTCGGAATAGTCCTTCTTGGAGACGACCCAGTCGGGATTTATGCCGTAACCGCCAGGTGGCGCCCACAGAGGCTGGCGGAGGTCGTTTTCATAGACGGAGAGGATGTAGCGGCAGAGTCGAGGCACGGGCTCGAACTCTGCAGCTGTGGCGAAGCCCCATGTTTCGCTCTCCCGGCCTGCGGTGTAGAGGAACTTTTTCCAGACCCAACGGGCGCACGCTAGGCAGGACACGCACTCGACTAGGGGCACGCAGCAGGCCACGGACATCGATGCCTTCCAAAAAGTTTGAATTTTTAGTTCTTTTTTTTTTTGGCCCCACAAGAAACATACAAGGGAGTTGCTATTGGGNAAATAGAGGATAACTGCAACTAGCTCTGGTATCAGCAAAAGTCAATGATTTGAAACAACTGGCCTGTGCACAAGCCAATTATTTGAAATGAGTTTACAGTAGATAGCATGTTGGATAATGAAAAAGACTCGATTTTTATCTCTTCTTTTGGTTCAAATAGTGAAACCAACAAGGCTATGGCTGAAAATTGTATTCAGGATAAATCGATGACCTTCTAAAAGAGTGTTCATCTCTTGTCTATGAGTGTGTGCGTGTGTGTGTGTGTAAATTAACAGTAGAGTCGATAGATGATTACCAGGCATCCAAGAGCATAAGCATCACAAGAACAATGGCTTGCACAACATCAATTTTTCTCGACGGCCTTCTAATGGGCAAAAACCCCCCAAAAAATTCGACAAAATTACTAAAAATAGCCGATAAGTTCAAATCACAAACTTATAATCAAAGTTCAAACGACCCAAATAAAGCCATGGAAACGGTGAAAGAAAGATTAAATTTTTAAACGAAGAAATATAGAAGAAAAATGACAACTATCCCCAAATGGCGGAACTGTCTAGAAAACAAGCATCATTATTGCTGGTAATTATGTTTTTCGCCTTCAAGTGGGACAGCTAAAGAAAGCAACTCGGGGGAGTTAGGCAAGTAGTAAATCGATAAAAAATAAGACACAAATTTGAAAGAAAAACTAGCGTACCTGCAACTACTACTGCACAAAGATTGTCGAGTAATAAACGGATGTTTGAGACCATGGGAAAGAATCTATTGCGGTTTATGCCTTTAGATTCCCCTCCTTTGTTTCTTGGTGTTATTTAGCAAATGATGGGGAAAAATATTTTTGGTCAAGAAAAATATTTATTTGTGTTTTTTTGTATTATTTTTAGTTAAAAAAAGTTACTTGTGTTTTTTTTTTGTTTTTTAAAAACTTAAAGTTTCATTTTGTTAATTTTAATGTTATTATATTTATTTATTATGTATTTTTTATTTTCTATTAGTTAAATTATTTTTTCTTTTTTATAAGATAGGACGTTTGGATGTTTATATATTTTTTGTTTTGAGTACAAAGAGGGAGGTAAAAGCCTTAGACTACGATGTTACGAGGATGGGCTACCCCTAGAACATCATGTTCAAGCTACGGTTTCACCCCCGCGAGAGGGTCATCAAATATATGGAGCCTTAGACTACGATGTTTATATATTTTTAGAGAGTACATATCGAATAATTCAGTGTACATCTTAATCGTATATCGAAACTCTTGATCTACAATAATTGGTCATTTCGAAAATTGGGATACAAGTTTAAGTAAATTGAAATTTTGGATAATATATATATATATATATATACATACAATATTGATTTAGAGTATCATTTTTTTAATTAAAAAAAGAGTTATTGAGATTTGATTTATAGTATAATTGTTAAATGAAAGAAGTTATTAGTGAGCTCATCTCAACTCGAGCTTATTTAGAATTTGTTTAAATGATGAGTTCAGTTGGAACTAACTTTAATATCGATAATGTTTTATAGCGTGACTCTTTAAAAATTGAGTTCGACTCTTTAGTATTGATAAATGAACTGGGTTTGAGCATGTTTGATTAATGAGCCAAACATATAAAGACTTGAGTTCTCAATTAATACTTGTTATTCTTGATAGAAGGTCATACTAATCTTTTCTGTATCGTTTCAATTTACCGAATGTTCTCAAAAAAGCTTTAGTTTGAGCTTCAAAATTAGAAGCTCAAGCTCGGCTCCACTTTGAGTGTGAGCTTCAAACAGCTCTTTAGAATTCCTATATTTTTTGAGAAATTTACAAGAACACGATTTGTTTGTCCATGTTCATAAAGTTTTATGTCTTTACTACTAAAATAGTAAATGAAAACAAGTGATATTATAAATAAAGGTGACATTTTTACAAAGAGAGTAAAAACATGTCAGTTCATAAAATTATTGCTCTTCTTTTCAATATCATCATAGCACTAGAAGTGGATCTCCCATCAGTTTGGGCTTCGCTAATGAATTTAATCAAATATACCATTTTCAGTTGAAGCATGTAACACATGTTATAACCAGTGATGTTTTAGTTAGAATGCATACAAAAATTGTCCCGTAATTAGATAATGTCGTTTTATTGGTGACATAGTAAAGTGACAAAACATTAATGCCCGGGCTCCATCTCTATTAAACCATCTAGACTAATCGTTGAGTTTCTTCTTTTTTATTTTGTTATTTTGCATTGATGAGAAATATACGCTTTCATATAAGATCAAAATCTGGCGGACCATTTATAGTCTTTAGGCTCTCCTGCCCTATACTTTTCAGTTTTTTATGTCAACCACAAATAGGGGAGTTTAGAGGAAATTGACTTTTAAAGTCAATAAGTCATGCACCATTACTATTTTTTCAATGTTGGACTAACACCAATTTTAAGTGCAATTTAAATTGGATAAATGCAAATTGAAGCCCTCAAGTTTGGAAAAATGATTTCCGTTGATCTAATGGTGAAAAAATCAATTTGTACGTTGTAATTGTATGTATGATCGTTTCTTCACCATCGTACGAATACCAATTTTCAGTACATTTTGGACTGGATAAGGGCATATTGAAACGCTTATTTTGTTGCATTTGGATTGGATAGAGACTCACTGAACTCAAGTATGGATAAACGAAAGGTGTTGATAATACGGTAAAATTCATGCACTGCACTTGTGACTTGTGAGTATGGTCGGATTTATTCCTTTTTCATCCCTCAATAACACAAAATTTAACCATTGAAGGATATTTTTTATCTTACAATGACATTGATTTAGTTGAACATAATAAACAATTCTCACACATCATAAAAGCTAAATTGGCATTGGATCAAATTTGTCTCATAGAAATTGAAAAAAACTAACATTAAAAGATAGTGTAATTTGTGCAAATATATAATAATACATCGTTGAACACTTTTTGCATGCTATATTTTGTATATTTTTGTCTTCCTGGAATATATCCTCAATAACAATTGGGCCAGTAACTAAGCCCAAATACATCCTCGTCGAAGCATGGAACGGAAGCCACAAAAGCCCACTGGAAGCGAAGCCTAAGCTATGTATGTAGTATAAGTTATGAGAACAAAGTAAGAGTTGAACTAAAGAGTAATATACAGCTGCGGCTGTTGGCAGTGTAGTCGGTTATCACGCTAAGCATAGTCCTGGGTGGTGTAGTCGGTTATTACGCTAGTCTCACACACTAGGCCTCGTTTACTTTGAGGGACAGGATTAGATAAGAAAATAGTCCTGGGATTTCCGCTGTTTACTTATAAGTAGGGGTGTACATATTTCGACTAAAATTGACCGAACCGATCGAAATCGACCGAATCGAAAATTTTGGTTTGATTTTTGACCGACTCGGTCGGTTGTCGGTTTTCATTCTACTATTGTTCGGTTATTTCGGTCGGTGTCGGTTTTCGGACATCAAATGTCCGAAAAAACCGAACCGACCGAATAAAAAAATAATAATATATATATAATATTATATTATATATTATGATATAATATTTTAATAATACAAATATACAAAAGACTAAGTAACTCCTAATTTCCTAAACATCTTCACAAAACAGGACACCCTTCCCTTCCCCAATTCATCCGCCGCCGTCGACAAATCCTCCGCCGCTACTTCTCCGCGCTGCTCCACCGCCGCTGCTCCTCCGCAGTCCGCCCTAAATCGCCTCAATCCAAACCATCCACCAAATCGTCCGCTCCGCAAAAAATCGTCCCCTCATCTCATTGCTGAGCTTGCGTAACTCGGTTTCTTTCCTATAATTTTATTCCCTTTTGTTGTAATTTTTGAATTCTTGTTTGTTTGATTTCTTTGGGCCACTTTATGTTCTGCTATAGTTTTTTAAGAAGTAGCTTTTTTAGTGGTTCTTTTTTATGTTACACCTGAAATTGATGTGCTTTAATTTGGCTCATTATATTGTTTCTGCAACAAAAACTAAAAAGCTCCTTATTTTATGTATTTGCAGTAGCAGTAAGTTATTTCTTGTGGGTGTATGCTAAATCTCTACTCCATCTGTTCAGAAGGGTTTGTGGAATAAACTATATATGATAATTGATCAGAACTATTTATTGTTAGATTTTGAGTTCTTGGTATAATTTGGATTTGCTGATAGGATTATTTTCAGTCTTTTCATTATTTTCAGTCATAGTACTGAGTATTTTTACATCAAGATCTGACTGAAAAAATTGTTTTTTGTAAAAATTCGGTTAACCGACCGAACATTTCGGTTTGGTTATACTTCGGTTTTAAAGAATTATTTCGGTCGGTTCGGTTTTTGAAATTTAAGAATTCGGTTTTTATAGTTCGGTTCGGTCGGTCGACCGAACCGACCGATGAACACCCCTACTTACAAGGATTTGGACAGGATTTTGACGACGTGGTGTCTATGTGGCAGGCGTGGTCCTCTTGTTTATCCCCAACAAGCTGATAAAAAAATCCGGCCTCCCCCCATGGATAACTTAATCCCAAAAATCTGGTACCCATTTTTCCCTCACTTTTTGCTGCCAAAATACCAGATTAGCCCCAATTGACCACATTATTACAAATTTGTCCCATATAAAATTGATGAAACCGGTGTTTGCCCTAGTTCTTGCGCAGCGACGAGCGGTAGAGGAGGAAGAAGCAATCTTCTGTAATTCCAGCGATAGGTAAGCTCCATGTTCGAAGTAATCTTCTGTAAAATCATTGCTACAAAATTTTTGTCGAAATATCGGATTCCTCGAATTGTAATTCTGATTTGTTTGAAAACGGGGCACTATGTCCTAGTTTTTGTAGAGACAAGCACGGGTGGGGGAACAAACCATATTTCTTCGGTTTTTCCGTCGGGACGCAAGGTAAGCTCGAAATTTGTGAAGATTAATGGTGTTCCTCGAGTTGTAGCAGGCTGCCGATAGTTTCGGGTTTATATTTTTTTTTCCCCAACAATGTGTTTTTTGAACTGCACCATGTTTATCCGACTGAGTATGGTATTGCACATATACCTTCATTTGCTCTGCCGTGTGTTTGTGGAAAAATGAGTTTACACTTCACACATAGATCTTGTTCAATGTGCATTCTGTGTGGATGTGCATAATTATTTTGAAGATGGAGTTCGTACTATATGCTTTCATTTACAAATCTATGTTTTGCCTTAGATTTTTGGATATTTGGATACCTGTTGTTTTACTTCCTATATTTGGCTGTACAGAAGGGTATATTAGGGATTTCCCGGTCTAACATCTCATTTAATCCAGTGAAGTAAATGAGGGATTTGTTTCTCAAAAGTCCATTCCTCAAAGTAAACAGGGACTAAATGCTGACATGTAAAGTTAACCTGATTATTTAGTCTTATCCTATCTCACAAAGTAAACGAGCCCTAGAGGTCCCCGGTTCGAACCCGGGCTCAGACAATCATATTTTCATCATTTTTTATTTTTTTTTTCCTACAATTTTTCCATGTTTTTCTTCTTCGTCACAGTTTGGTGGCACGCTCACCCAAATTCTTCTCATTTACCTTCTTCCTCAGTCTCACCATTTCTATTTCAATCGGCAAAAAAAAACTTAATTTTGTCAGCAGAATGTACGCTGCTCAAACGCTGCCGTTTCCAAAGCTCACTAAACACAGTCCCCGAACAAAGAACTACCAAAAAGTGACTTCTTTACAGAACCCACCTTTCGGGTTTCTCAATTCGGGCAAAAGGGTGTCCGAATCAAGAGCTGGCCCGAAAAGAGGTGGCTCTTTTACGGCGATCATGTGTGCTGCGGCTCAGGATAAGCGAACGGTCGACGAGCAAGATAAATTTGGCGTTGATGGATATTATATGAGGAGATGTGTGGAGCTCGCGAAGAAGGCAATAGGGTCGACCAGCCCCAATCCGATGGTTGGGTGTGTGATTGTGAATGGCGGGAAAATTGTTGGTCAAGGGTTTCATCCCAAAGCTGGTCAACCTCATGCCGAGGTGAAAATTATTTTGTTTTGAGATTTTGACAAAAATTCTTTTTGTATGTTAATTGTTGACAGATTTAGAGGTTTTCTGAGGGGTTATTTTGATGATGAGAAATTAGTCAATTACTGTGAGTTACCTTTTCTGATAGTTGTTTTTCAGTTGCATTTGCATCTGTCAAAAAATGTTATTGTGGTTGCAGTTATCTGTTTGAACATAGCATATATTGACGTTGTTGCAGTTAAAAACCGCGTAGTTGGACCTTCGATTTGGTCGGCCTTTCCGCCTTTTGGTGTGCTCCAGTTGTCTCATCCCTTCTGCCGGCTTCTGATCACCAAGTTTGAAACTTTATCTGTTTCCAGTGGAGTGATGATTTGACAATTTTGTCATAAAAACGCTTCAACCACCATTTTTCCCTTTCCTAAAGTCAATGATTCTACTATAAAATGGTTTTCGGAATTTTTCAGCTTGATTTTGGTGTTAGTAGGTAATCAGGTTCGACAAATTTAGCAATGGTATTATTGCACGCTGGCAAGTTGTTGAAATTGGCCGCTTTTGTCTGTAAATACAAAACACTCTGATAAAGAATTTGAGCAATACAGGTTTTTGCTTTAAGGGATGCTGGAGATTTAGCTGAGAATGGGACAGCATACGTGAGCTTAGAGCCATGCAACCATTACGGAAGAACGCCACCTTGCACCGAGGCATTAATCAAAGCCAAAGTGAAAAAAGTAGTGATTGGCATGGTGGACCCTAATCCTCTTGTGGCATCGGCCGGAGTTAAAAAGCTTCAAGATGCCGGCATTCAAGTGACTGTTGGGGTTGAGGAGGAAATGTGCCAAAGGCTTAATGAGGTCTTTGTCCATCACATCCTCACGGGAAAATCTTTTGTTACTCTCAGGTGGGTTTGCGGCTATTTATCCGTTAGTTGTGTGATTATTTTTATTCCCCTACTATCTAATTACGTTCACAAATTCTGTGTTGCATCGTCAAATGTAGTTTGGGTTAAAGTTTGAGTTTGAAATAAGCAAACAAACTTGAGGGTTGTTAGCCTAATTACGGAAAAGTTCCCATTTCACATGTTGCAGGGGTATTTTCTTACTTAGTTACCTCAAGTGGGTCTTTCTGTATATTAAAAGTTGTTTAGTAGAATACCTGTTTTATGCTGAACCTCTGCGTGTAATTTAACCATAACTGAAGTCCCTGTGGCTAACTTTTGGTTAATCTAACAGGTATTCCATGTCACTGGATGGTCACATACTAAATCAGCTCGGTGAAGAAGCTACTGAGTGTGGTGGATATTATTCTAAATTATTGCAGGAATATGACGCCATCATACTTTCTTCAACGGCACTGGCCGACAAGTCTTCCTTTCCATTTTCAAAAGAACCGGGGGCCAATCAACCCGCAAAGATCATATTATCAAAATCTCCAAGTTCGCAGATTCAGATTCCCATTCTCGATGATGTGGAAGCTTCTAAACTAACGATAGTCTCTGAGCCACAGACCGTTCAAGAAGGCATCAAGACACGGTCTTTCGAGAAAATAAATTTACGTGAAATTCTTGAAGATTGCAAGAGTCAAGGGCAATGTAGTGTGTTAATTGATTTGAGAGGTAATAGTTTGGATTTTGAGGATATTCTTAAAGAGGGATTCGAATTAAACTTGTTTCAGAAGGTGGTGGTGGAGGTTTTGCCGTTTCTGGGCAGCGATAGAGAACATGTGTTGAAGCATATGGATTTAAAATCAAATGTTCGAAATTTGACGTCGTTTGTTTCGGGCAAGAGTGTGATACTAGAGGGATATTTTTGATTAAGTTGTGTCCGGTTCTTACTTGATGAGGGTATTTTTTGGTTTCTTTCGACATTGATAATACTAGAGAAGAAGACTGATTTGTGAGGGTGTAATTTTCTGATTCTCTTGTTTTGGTCATGGTCTCATGCTGAAAGAGATCGAGATAATGAATCTCATGCAGTTACTGTAAAAGACACACTAACAAGTAACAACATTTTTCAATTTCCATCATGTGTTCTCACTTGTTGTCATTTCTAATTATGGTGATTTGAAATTTTGATGTTCGATCAATTTTGCTTGCATCATATCTAAGGGATTCCTCATTCCTTGGTCGAAGATCCAATGTAACTCGATTATTCTCAAAGGTGCTGCAACCTTTTTCTGAATGTGAAGATCCAAGCAGAGGCCTTCTAACAGGCGATGAACTAGATCGAACTTTGTTCATTCAATTATCGTTTCTGTTATTGACCGCACACATAGCAAAAGAAAATTTCTTATTTCTTTGTATTCCAAATGTAAAATACCTAAAATGGAGAAAAAAAAGGGTGTAATGGTGCGGTTTTGTTATGAAGCCAACAGTTGGCTTCGTAACAAAACCGTGTAACGGTGATCTGGGTTTTTCTTCTTGTTTTGAAAATTGTGGTGCTTGGAAGTTGGAAGAATTATGCACGGTTTGACAAAGTTGATTTTACACAGTACTAGACATAGTAAGGGCGTGGTTGTATATAATTTGTACAGTAAATATCTCACTCAAAACTCAAATTTAACTCAACTTCACTATCTCCAATATTATCAATATAATTAAATAATATCAATCAATCATTATTACACATCACATCAATTTTAATTCACTGTTCACCCACTCACATAATTTTAACTAACCATCACTTCCAATCATTTTCTCCTACTTTTACATCAATTCAACTTTAATTATTTTAATTTAAATATTATTTTAATATATCCACTAACAACTAACCATACTACTTCTTTTCAACTTTAACCATAGTTAAAAAAACTAATTTTTTATTAGTTGAATTCATATCCAATCACACCCTAAGTAACTTAAACCTAAAAAGATAAGTTAGGCAACAACGGGTCCATAGCTCAGTGGTAGAGCAATTGACTGCAGATCAATAGGTCACCGGTTCGAACCCGGTTGGGCCCTTCAATGTTGCATGTTTTTGTATACTTTTTACGTGCCTACTCTGTCATTTATTTGACTTTTGGATTACTCTAGTTAATTGTTTATATTTCTCGTAATTCTAAGACGTAATTAAATATTTTACAAGTCTGCAAACTTCCCCTACTTCCAGATGCAAGTTCGTTGAATTAAATGATTTTTATTATCGCTCTTCGAAAGAAAACCAACATATTCCACAGGCCAACTAATGACTGGTATGGATAAGAAAATTCCAACCGAACCACAATAGACAATTATCACGTGTTCTACTCGTGCGACAGTTTTATTTTATCCCATTCTCACAACGTGTCTATATCCATCCTCTCTCGATCAGTTACAACTCAAAGACTAAGACCACTGAAATATATCAAACGACGAACATTACAAACAAGTATAAAAGGCTGGTTATCCCCGTTAATTCAAGTGTTGCACAAAATCCATGTCCATGTTCGAATGTTATCACATTTTACGTGATTTTTAACTCTTTGGGGTGAAGAACGAATGCGAAACTCGACAAATTTTTAACTCTTTGGGGCGAAGAACGAATGCGAAACTCGACAAGATACAACTAGAAACGCCGCATATCTTTGGGTGGCTTAAAATGAAGGGGATGAGTCTCTGGGGTGGCCGTCTCGTCTTCTTTCCACATTTTAATCGTCTTGTCTGCTTCACAAGTGATTAGCCTCGAACCTGTCACATCATATGTAATTGCGTATATACCAGCTTCACTATCCAATGACCCTGGCAAAAAAAAAAAAATGTTTTAACTGCTGATGTTGCTTGAAAAAGATTATAGCAAATCAAGGTCAGAAAAGAGATTTTCGTTTGTACCAGGCTGGACGATTGTCTGGGCTTGCTGGAAATTGTGACCGCTCGTCCAGTCCCAGAACCACAAACTTCCATTGTCGCCTAACATAAATTAAATTAAAAGATTATAATAGAATCACGTCTAATTTATCTGAGAATATAGTTTGATGAGAAGACCCACCAGCTGTGGCAAGTACACCCTCCTCGTTGACTGCCGCTGAATTAATAATAGTTTTCTGTTGAGTGCTGCAAAATGGGAAAAATCGACATCAGCTCCTTGCCTTTGCTCGTGTAATTAATAGCACATAATGATAAACTTGGCAAAAACTTGAAGTAATCGCGGTCATTAATGGAGAAGTTGAATGTCTGTTCGTATGACTCACAGCATATTGTGCATGAATTCCCCTTTTGGAAGTTTAAACTTTTTAATATTCTCAGCAGATGCAGACACAAAACAGTCCCTGCAAAATGGGACAGGAAGTTTAGGTAAGCAATGAGAATATGAAATAGAGATATGACAGATGGAGTGTAAATGAGATGAAATTTGCAGAGAAGAAAAAATCTTACTCCTTCGGATGAAGAGCCATGGCTCGTACAGATTTCTTATGATGTGTGAGAGTTGCCATTGTTTTACCTGCCAAAACACAAGCATCTCCACATTATTATTATATTTAATAAGGAAAAAAAACTACAATAAAACATTTATATATATCTTAGAAAGACCAAGTAAAGAACCAAGATATTATTCCTCATAAAACATTACCATATCTAAGGTCCCATAACTTTATAGTTGAATCATGAGAACCGGTTACGACTTGCGGATCCTGCAAATTCAGATCATGCCATGAGATCAGACGAAAATAAACTTTCAAAACAGCTGATACTTTTGGCAAATCTACATAAGCTCAGGTTAGGTTTGGAGTGGATACAGTTAATCCATCTGCCTCATAACAAAAGGTGGCACCATAAAGTATCTAAGATGGTAAAGAAAACAGCCAGTTGCAAAGGTAAGGTTCTCAGCGAAAGTGCAAATAGTTTTGTGTAGACATTTTACTCGAAACAAGTTTAAAGCTATTCACCGATTTGTGAACGGACTAGATCATCAATAGATAAATTAGCCAATGCTATATAATAGGAACAACCTTCACGCGAAAAAGACCAGAGAAAGACAGGCGACATAAACAGACATATTCAGTATTTAGATATGGTGCGTTTGAACCATAATAAGCACTCACCGTAGGCCTTGTGAAAACTGAACAGACCGTATTTTCATGTCCAGAAAGTGCATGAATTTGCATTTTGCTGCGAATATCCCAAACCTTATCATCCACATGTAAAGTAATTTAGTATATATTCTAGCTTGTTCTTTATAAATTTACCCGAAACGCGAAATAACATACATATGAAAAAGGAATATCAACACAATTATACATACCCGACATACAGAATCTCGCCCACCAGTAAACAAAATGTCAATAGTGGGATGAAGAGCCAAGCAATAAACACCACTTAGATGACCATGATAAGAACGAATAACCTGAAAATGGGCACAATATTATTATAACTCACTTATTTCAGATGGTGCAGCTATTAAATTGAATCACCAACCTTGTTCTGCTCTAGGTCCCAACATTTAACTAATTTGTCATCACCAGCAGAAAACATGTATGTGTGCTTGCTGCTAATAGCAAGACCTGCCAATAATAAGTAATTGTTTCATCGAATGATTCATAAATGTCTGTTATCCCAAACAAAAAAGGAAGAAAAAAAATTTTACCTCGTACTTGGTCAATGTGACCAGTAAGCGTCAGTTTCAGGCGGCCACTTGCTAAGTCCCATATCTGACCATCGGAAGAATGCTGGAGTTAGAACAAAGATGCAAAAGGGAAACCAAGCATAACTTACACAAGATTAATGAAACATACGATTCGACTCCAGTGACTTCCAGAACCAGGACCAGTTCATTATCTTATGATATCGAGCATTGACAAAGAATGTTGTCCGCTAAAACAGTATTCACAGATTACATGACCTCAGCCCGTGAATTTAAAAGTTAGATCATGTCTTTAGTGAGATTTTCCATGGCTACGTTTTATGTGAACACTTTCAAGAAAGCAGAATTTAATTTCAAACCTTGATAGTTCGATCAGCAGATCCTGTGCAAAACCAATTATTACTTGGGTCAACAGCAACCGATCGCACCCACCCCAAATGGCCACTAATGACCTACACAAGTAAGTGGTTGCATTACAGGTTCAGAATTAAGGCAGCAAAGGTAAAACAAGAGTTTGATGAAATGGAAAAAATCAAAATCAGTAGCACACAAGACACATTTAAAAGATAATCATGTAATAGGTAGATTTTATTTTTCTCACGGCCCACAATACTGGTCAATGAGTTAATCCATACTGTGATTTAGCAGGGAAGCAGATCGGTGTAAATTTGTAATGGAGAACAAACATATTGCACTTTCTCAAATTGGTACTCAAAACCCCAAAATACAATGATGCACAACCACATGAATCATAAAGACATAGTGATACAAGGGCCAATTGAATGCAGTCCACATAACTATTGCTACAAAAGTAACAGCCCAAAGTGTTCAGACCAAGAAAATGTACACACATACAAATTCATCATGGTTTAATTTCAAAAACTTTTCGATAACGGTTAGGAAAGTTTCTCACTCTATAATTCTTCCAAGGTGCATGCCATACAGGACGAGGCCATCTACTTGGAATTCTCTCCATGATAGCAGAAGTAGATAGATTTCTGAGCATCATAAACAAACAAAATTTCTCAACATGACAGTTGTCAATATCTACCATCAGTGCTATAACCAAAAGCTGTCGATGGAAATCACTATCTGACTATCCGTGCTACATCTAGTCATTGATATTGAGAATGATAGAAATATGGAAACGAAGAAAATAAAATTAACAAAAAAGGAGGTACTATGTTCAATATGTTTATAGTATAAGTTGGAACACTTTTTTCTTAGAACAATTAAATAAAGCTTTTTGTACAAAAGGCACAAAAGAGATGCTGAAATTTTTTACAACTTCTTAATATTAGCATGCACAGCATATGATTGTTCACTATATCTGCATACCTAGGAGGTCCAGAAAGAAACAAACAAGCGTTGAATAGAATACCTTCCAGACGAACCGTGAGCTGGAACAATTGATGTGCTCTTGACTTGAACCCCATCGTCGGTGCTGTACCAAATAATGCACAAAAGAAGTGTGTTTTCACATCTTGAAAGAACAAAACCTATTATTAATGTATTCTGTGATTTACAAGATAGATCTTTAAAGCCATGATAGTATAAAACCCAAATATGCATTAATGTTTTGATCTTTTATTCTCATCTGCATGATTACCTCACCAATGCAGAGAGAAATATTAATTAAAAAGAATACATACGGCCCCTTAGGCTGCCCTGTCGAACTAATCACCAAATCCTTCTGCAACCTTCCCTTCTGTACATTATTTGACTGTTCAGGGCCTGCACAAGGAAAAAATCATTTATCCATCATCAACGGAAAGAGGAAATAACTTAATAAGCTTACTATGTCCACACAGGACATGTATTCACCAATTCAGAATTTAGGAAATGAAATTTTAAACACCAACACACTATTTAAGGTTCGATATCTAGCAATACCTGGAAGTGCTAGGACATTTGATGGAGCGGAAGTCTGCTGCGCTTGACCTTTTGCAGCTGCCATACGAGTAGAACTTTCGGTTGCTGCATTTCTTGCACTCCCATACTCAGAATGAAGCTACTCAATTAACCCAAAAATAACGAAGATAAATAAAAAATAATATATAACCAATTTTTGCTAAAAGAACATATGTACGCGTTTCAGTAACCCAAGCAATGCATTACTCCATATCAATACGCTGTTTCTTCTAAATTATGATGCTCACATACAATTAATCACATGCAATCAAATGGAAGCCCAGACGTAGCATTGCGCGTAAATACACAAACGAATTTTCTACACACTTCTCTACGACAGATTTCCTTGAGTAAGCTCGTACAAAAATTATAATGCAATAGTTAGAACTCACCTTATGACTCACTCGGATCTTCTTACTGCAAACCAAACAAAAACGAAGCAATCAATCAAAAAAGGGGCTTACTAGGGCATGATGTGATAACAGAATCATCTACCGGAAATGGAAAATAATAATTCAAAAACGTTACTGCTAAAATCATAGGAGTATTTTAGTATGCTTGAGCTTAGGGCTTCAGAAACCTTTCCGGGTCAGCCGGCGGCAATTGTCCGTGTGTAGGAGAGAATAGATCGAGAGCTCTCTTTAAAGATTTGAAGCTCAGCTTCTTCAGAGATTGTGGCTCAACGGGCAGCTCGGAATCCATCGTCGCCCCTGGCATTCCTAGATCAGCGTCGTCGGTACTAATCAATACCCCGTCGGAGAAGTTAAAGACTAATCCTGTAACTGAAAGAAAAAGGTAAGCCGCGCCTGAGGCGGTTGCGATGCACGGGGAGGCGGTTGCCGGGCGGTGGAGGTCGGAGCTTCGGCTGACAGGCGCAGCTGGGGTTTATATACTGTTTTTCTCTTCGTTTCTTTTTCCTTTTTGCGGTGTAAGATCATTTTCGGGTCAAAATTCCGTACTTTGATTTGAACCTGGTCCAAGAAAAAAAGACCCGGATTCAGTGGTGGGCTGGGCTTTGCATTTCGACCGGAGTTAAAGGAAGGGGATCGCAATACTAGGTTTTTTTTCATGCGAAGGCCGATCTAACAATAATCGCATTAAGAGCTTAAGGGTGAACCGGAATCGTTTGCTCACTAATGTATCAGATATTAACCAGCACGTATTGGATTATTTCTCTAATCTTTTCACTAGTCGATAGATATTGCAAGAGTCACTAATACGGTGGAGGGTCAAATTTCAATTGAGTCTTATTCTATGCTAGATGCTCCTTTTTCGAATGAGGAGGTTGAAAAGGCTATGATGAGTTTTGGTCCGTATAAGGCTCCAAGAACAGACGGTTTTCATGTCATTTTCTTTCAAAATTATTAGGCGCTCAAAAAAAAAAAATAATTAAAGGAGTTGCTTGGCTTTAATTCTGATCGTTTAATAAATGAGTTAAAGGCTCAACTCGTTTAAAAGTATGAAAGTTCGGATCGACTCATTCAATAAATCTAAAATTGTAAACGAGTTATTCACAAATACGGTTAGTGGTTCGTGAACATACTCGGCAAGACTACCAGTTCAAAATCCATAAAATAAGCAAACAATTAACAAATGAATTCGGCTCAGCTCGTTTAATAAATAAATTCGATCAGTTGTTCAAATTTGACTTATTAAATAATCGAGCTTTCACAAGACAAAACAAATTATAATCACGATAGATTATAAACAAACTAATCGTAAACAACTTTGTCCCAACTTATTTAAAAATGAGCTTGGCCAATTGTTACAATTCGACTTCTTTAAGTATCGAACTTTCACAAGTCGAACCAAATTATACTCACGAGTCACGAGTGATTATAAACAAACAATTTGTGGACGACTTATAGCCAACTCATTTAATAAATAAGCTCAATCAGTTGTTCGAATTATAACTCGTGACTTCGACCCAACTTGTTTAATAGATAAGTTCAATAAGTGCTCGAACTCTGACTCGTTTACGTATCGAGCTTTGATGAGCCGAACCGAATTATACTCGTGAATATCGAAAACAAGAGCTATAAGTGGAATATTAATTTGTTTATGAAATTTTTCAAAAAAAATTCAACATTTTAACTCAACCACTTTTTCTAACTCAACTTTAACTCAACCCCACTATCATTACAATTATCAATGTAATTAAATAATATCAATCAGTTATTCATACACACCACATCAACCTTAATTCACTATTCATCCACTCACATTATTTTAACTAACCATCACTTAAAAAAAAAAAAAAAACTAACCATCACTTCAAATCTCTCTCTCCTATTTTTACATCAAATAAATTTTAATTATTTTATTTTAAATATTATTTTAATATACCCACTAACAACTAACCATACCACCTTTTTCAAAAATAACCAAACTAAATCAAAAAATCTAAACAAAACCAAAAATTTTTATAAACAAACATGCTCTAGCTATTATTAAAAATAAAATGAAATGACTAAATATTTAACCCCTTATATGTTATTTAAAAAATGTGTTGAGTCTAAGTAACAGATTCACACGTTCCAGATGTTGAAATGCCAAGATTCATGTTTCGTATTTTGGTTTGTATATACATTATTTCTTTGGAACAAGCATAAATAATTTATTGCAATTCGGCAAGTATGCATTTTTAATTTATTTGTCTCATTTTTTTTTTCTCAAATCAAATATTACCATACACAAACTCATATTATTTGTTCTCATTTATTACATTCAATATTTTTATAATAAGAGTTAACAACTTTTTATTGTGTATTCGATTTTTTCATTAATGATTCATCAAATTAATTATCTTTTGATAATTTTCGATTTGACATCCATACTACATATAAATTTAAAATTAACTTTTATTTATTTTTATAAAAAATAAATTAAAAATAAATTTATTTAGCAAACCAAGTTAAAATATACAATTCCTCATGCATGATGTCGTTAAAAATAGAATTTAAAATAAAAATATATTTATATATTTTACTATAAAATAATAAATATTTTGTTACAATAGTAAATAAATTATGCAGATAGTAAGCATACACATAGAATGAATATGAACAAAGTATGTCATTACGATGTTGGAAATAAAAATATATATAAAAACAAATATCAAATTTGAAAGTAATAAAATCTTATTAGTTATATATAGTCATAGAATGCTATATGTTCATAAATGTTAATTTATATTTTCAACGATCGAATAATGTTAATTAGAAGATACCAGACAAGATAAATAAAATGTAATTTATTTTAATATTTTTTATGATATTTTAAAATATATCAATAATCAAGCATGCATCTCATACTTATTCAAAATTATTCAATTGAATTTTAAAAAAACAATTACCAAATTAGTAGAGTTGTAAGTAATATTTCTATTAGACATATATAATTTTATTAATATAATTAGAATAATTATCATTTTCAAATATGAGGATGAAAAACGCATGTAATTTTAGGGAGATGCTACGGTTCCGTTACGGAACAATTCCGTCAGGATTTGTAACCGTTAGATCATCATGTAACCGTCGGAGATAATTGATCTAACGGTAGCATTTCTCGTAATTTTAATTCATCATATCGTACATTTATGATTTTTCAATAAAAAAATAAATACTTTTATATATTATTTTTATTTATTACAAAGCATTTTCCTCCCCCTGTTCAAATTCGTTAATGGTGCAAAATCCGGGGTAGTTTATTTATTTAAAAAAAATAAGTTGAGAAAAAAAAAGAGTGGAAAAAAATAAAAAGGACGTATTATATGAATCCGTTTTTCTAAGAGGAGTGCAACAGAGAGCTAGCCGATGGAGAGCATTGCTTCACTTACGAGGCGAGGGCGAAAGCCCTTATACTCTGGTGCATCGGTTCCTTCTTCTTCCCCGACCAGAGGGGCAATGGAGTGAACCTCTACTGGTTGCAGCTTTTGCACGACATCGATACGATCAAGACGTACAGCTGGGGTTCGGCGGTCCTGGCCGAAGTGTATAGAGCGCTCTGCACGAGCGCCAAGTCCGGAGAAAACTGGATCAATAACTGTGTCCAACTAATTCAGGTAAATTTATTTATTTGTTATTTCAAAATTCATTTTTTTTTTCTAATTTAGACTAATATCTAATAACAAATGAATATGTCGATATGTGTAGGTTTGGGCATATGAACGTATCCCTCGTATTCGCCCAAGAATGAGAGATACGAACTTTGAGAGAGTCTTTGGTTGTCCCTTAGGTGGAAGGTAATAAAATTTATTTATATTTAAAATTTACATTATTTTCACTATCAAATTTTGTGATTACAAATTGTTTTTTTTACTGTGATTTTTAAGGTGGGTGGGAAAGAGGTGCATAACACACCTGGACAAAAGAACAGCCACCACCCGGGATCAATTGACAGAGCTCACAGAGACGGATGTAAGATCAATTGACATTCGCTTATCACACGTTAGCGAATGTTGACCACCTATTTCATACAGTCCCTCCAGAGATGCAGGCCGCAATCCTACAGGCCAAGAGCCTTCTCTACAGTTCTATAACTGTCGGAGGCGGAGAGGTCGCACAAGGGCCGTCGTCAAGCCAAGTTCTAACGGAGGAGAGCTACGTCCAATCTCAGAGGACGCAGTCACACCGGGCGAGGCATCGACCTGTTGCCAAAATTGGTGGAGGTAGAAGACGACGCGACCGCCAACCCGCTGCCGACATCGGGGCTCAGGAAGAGGAAGAAGGTGAAAATTTTCAACTTAACAAAAAAATAATTTTATTTATTTTATTTATTTGTTTATTGTGATTTTTAAAAAAATTATTTACTCAGGTGAAGAAGACAAGAAGAAGAAGAACCCGTCACGCCCACAGCACCGTCTTCTTCACGACGACCACAACGTCGGATCAGCCAGCGACAGCGCAATCCTACGAATCGATACACTCCTAATTAGTTTGTATTGTATTCAGAGAATTTTGTGAACATATTTGTTAATTTTTTTTTTTCATTCTGTATACTGATATTTGTGTTTTGAATAAATTATTGTGGTTGACTTTTGGTATATAGTGTATGTTGAATTATTTTGGGCGAATTGATTCATATTAGTTGCTTGAATATGTTGTGATTTGTTGAACAGGTTGTGAAATCGATCCAAAAATATATTTTGCATTTTTCTGCAGAGAATAACGTATTCTAGGAATCCGTATTATGAAGTATTAGGGCAAAATACATAGAAAACGTTTTTGAAAAATACGTTTTACATTTCCAAAATTTATTTTCTGCAGATTTTTTTCTTAAAAACGTATATAAATAATCCGTTTTATAATTAATTTTAATTATAAAACATATTAAAATTAATTTTATTTTAAAAACGTATATAAATAATTCGTTTTATAATTAAAAATTTAATTTTAATTATAAAACATATTGAAATTATATGTTTTTAATTAATTTAATTAACTTAATTACATTAATTATCTTAATAAATTATTTATTAGAAAAACGAATTTATTGAATACGTTTTACTAATAAAACCGAATTTATCGAATACGTTTTTTAAGGAAAAACGTATTCTAATACGTCCTTTTTATTTTTTTTCACTTCTCTTTTTTTTTTTTTCTTTTTTATTCAGTTATTTTTTTTATTTTTAAATAAATAAATAATTCACAAAATCCAAATAAAGCCGAAGGGGATAATAAACCCTAGTCCTCCAAGCTCCAACCCTCCTCCAACTACTCCGACTGTCCCCCGCTGGCACCACCGGCCCACCGCCTGAATCGGAGCTCTGTAGCTCGCTAGGGAATACAATCTTTTCTGTGGGTACGCGTTTAATCAAGTTAAAAGTTCCGCAAACATGTCAAAGAAGAACGATTTAGCTAGAAGGAAAAGGCTTCACGATTTCGATCTCAGAAGTACTGCAATTTGATATCACTACTGTTAATTGTTCAAATTATGC